CAATTACAGGCAGCGCTACAGCCGACAGCAATGCTTCTATCCACTAACTGTAAACACAGCTACAGAGGGAGAGGAGCAACTGTTTTCATCTATTTCAGTGAAATCCTCTGCAGGTGGACATTCTTGTGTCTTTCCACTGCAGTGGCAAATCTACTAACAAACTGTGACTGTGACATGACACATTTTCCAACAGTTATTTAATTGATTTTGCAGTTTTAAGAAACCATGACTGAATATGTAATTATGAAGTTTCATTTACTGCCAAAGGACATCTGCAGCTGTTGCTTTGTGCTGTCCAAAGTCCCTCTTGCTTTAAGAAGTGACGAAAACTGTAGGTAAAAAATACTGCGTCACAAGTCCTACATGAAAAATCTTACTTGAGGAAAAGTACAGGAGTTTCAAAATGGTCAAAATAGCTTAATGAGAGATAATGGTAAAAAAAAAAAAATCAGGCTTTTTTCTTTAAAAATTCCAGAAATCCTGTCATTTTAAACATAACCTCAAATTTTAATAAGCACATTTCACAGATACTATTTAAAAAAATCTAGTTTATGATTTTAAAAAAAGGTTCAAGCAAATTAAAGATCTTCAAGCAGAAGTTCCCTGATGAGTTGAGATAGAATAAACCTATAAAGAACAACGAAGCATCCTTTTCTGTTCTTGTTGAAAGTAGCTAAACCTGTCTGATAAATGTAGTGGAGGAGAAAGTACAATATTTCCCTCTGAAATTTATTGGAATTATAAAATAACATAACTCAAGTAAAGTACCTCAACATTGTTCTGAAGTACAACAGTTTAATAAATGTACTTAGTTCCCACTACTGCATATAACTGGAGCTGATGCGAACAACAAAAGTTTTGCAAGTACCAAAAGTTCCAGAGAAATTTCAGTTACACACGTAAAAAGTACTGTGGCTCAACAGCTGTTGCTTTAAATATGATATCTAAATAATGGTGAATGGAGTTGAGATTGAGGCGTTTTACTCAAAACTACAAATGTTAATCTCATGGTGTTGCTTGAGATCAAGTGAGGGGATTTTTAGGATTCACAGACTGAGTAACATGGTCATCAGCCAAAAATGTAATGACGATCCATCCAAGACTTGTCAAGCTCACAAAAAAACCCCACAACTGCAGACAAATGTAAAGTCATCCAGGTGAAAATGACTCTAGCAGCGGTAATCAAGCTCTCCAACTCCATTGACTTAAAAGTTTCCTGATGGCTGAGCTACATTTAGTGACATTAGCTCAAACCCAGTCACAGACACTGAATTCAGCCAAAAGTATCAGTGAAACATTAGACAAACACCAGACTGTGTGCAGTGGGAATAAATATCTGAGTACAAAGCAAAAGTTCCATGTAAATTTCCTCTGCAGATACTCAAGTCTGATTCAGATAAAGTCAATATTTCTACAAATCAAACTCACAACATAAATAGTTTTTTCTCTTTTCATGATTTCATAGAGCACATTACGAGTCCCATGAACAAAATGACATTCCTATTTCCCACTGATTGCATATATTAAGCCTAATCAGACTCATATTCATCCTTCTTTCAACATCGCTGACCATTTCCGCTACTTCAACAAGCAAATTGCAAAGTATATCTGGCTTTTACGTCACCAATGAGCAAAAAATGATCAGTGAGCAGGTGGCAGCTTGGGTGGCAGCTTACTTACCATCCAGCTTGAGCTCTAATCACATCTTTTGATATTTTCTTTTTTTTGACTTCTCAAATCAAACTCTTCACGAGGGTTTCACTCAATATCAATTCAATCAGTCACACAGTTGGAACGGTTTGAGTTCCTCCAGTCTCACTGTGGTAAACATTCCTCTGTGCACTTACAGGGTCACTGAAGGGGACACAAACTAGAGTCACTGCCCTGACCAGACAACAGTGGTCAGATCTTAAACTCTCAGATTCACTGACGTCACAGCTGCAGTGCTGAGTGTGTAAGTTATACGAGGTGTCAGAAAAGTTCCAGGGAAAGATCCCACAGTTCCTGGCTGAGAAGAACATCGTCCTGCTGGAGCAACCTCCCGACTCACCCCACCTGGCTCTGTGGGATTTCTTCGTCTTCTCCAAGCTCAAGAGGGTCATGAAGGGGACCCGTTTTGAAGACGTGGAGGACATCAAGATGGCTGTGACGACGGAGCTGCAAAGAATCCTGGAAGAATCCTTCCAGGAGTGCATAGCAGCGTGGCAGAGAAGGCTGGGAAAGTGCATTAGACTCCAGGGGGATCACTTCGAAGGGGAAAACTTGTAGTTTGTAGTTTGGATTTGAAATATATCTTTTGTGACACCAGTCCTGAAACTTTTCTGACACACCTTGTACAAATGGTATAAAAAAGAGGGATGGGACAGGCAATTGTATAATATTTGGATTTGTGCTTCAAAGACATGAACTGTGGCAAGCTGCTTCAATACTTGATAGCTGACGTTGACTGGAATTGAAATTACAGCTATCAACAATGTCATTTTGAATAGTTATAATTACACTGTGACTGCTCAGAATTTTTTTATAACAGACATTCATAATTTTCACCATTCAAAATGGTCAATATCTCTAATTTAGTTTTGACTAATCAGAACAAAATAAATATATAAATATGTAGTCACTCAAATGTCATTATACTCTGAACTGTTGTGCATGATGCTGCTCATGCAAGGCTTTTAACCGGATGTTGATCCAGCAATGGAGTTCAACAGTAATAAAAGAAGCAAAAATCATTTGAAAATGCGTGAAATAGGAAGAGCTCATCAGCGAGGAGTTTGTAGCAAACAAGGGCTTCATTCATCAGCGATTCAAGGTCAAAATTTAGCACAACTTCATCCTCAGGCTGCTCTAACGTGGAGGTGAAACGGCTGTCATGTGAAGTTAGAGTCGTTGCGCCATGGTACGTCTCAAACACAAGCTGCCCTTGACGCCCATTTGCCGTAGCATCTAATGTAACGACAGATATCCGCAACATCACTTACATTTTCACTAGGAAGAGTTCCTTATAAAAGATATGTAAAAAGTACAATGTAGATATTGAGAAAAGAGAGCAATTGAAGAGACCTGGAACTGGAATTATAACTAATCAGAATCAAAGTGTAGATATCTGACACTGGTGTTATAACAAGTCAGCAAGTCTGCAACTGAACTGCAGATATCTGTAATGAGAACCCCCACACATGAGTGGTAAAGTGAGTCTGTCTTAGGAAAAATGAGGATGTGGATATCAGAAATGTTCTTTTAGATGAAAAAAGAAATAAATTCCATTCCACTGCTTTCCATAATGAGCATCAAACAACACTCACTTCCAAACAAATCTACACATGTACAATAAAACAGACACAACAGCAAACAGTCATGTATACATTTTGCTGAGGGCAAAACAACCACGTTTATATGTCACCAATTTCCCTGTAAAAGTCTGCAGATATGCAGATTTACAGAGTCCACATCAGAGCCTTAATGCACTTAATGATTTGACAGTGGAACAATCTTAAGCCCTCATCCACTTAGCTGGAATGCACCTCAAAATCCATAAACTCCACAAACTCATGTCTGTCATGTTGTTTCCTGGAGTTAAATTCCTGACAGAAGGCTGCACCTGCTGTAGAAGATACACCAAATGTGTCAATTCCTGCTCAAGACGCCTCCTTAAAGAGGCATGCCGCTCCTTTCACACGACACACATTTTAATGAGCAGGACTCTGGAGAAGCTCCATCATTTGCAGTTCTGCCTCTGAATTATGAGACTTTTGGCTTTTTTTCAAAATGTTCTGAGGCAACTCGTACACATTGTTGGCATTTTCTATCGCAGCATATGACAGATATTAATGTGTAAGAACCCCTGCAGGCAGAGTAGCCTTTTGTACAGAGTTCCCAAGAATGCACAAGTCTGAGAGGCAGCCTTTCAAACATGGTGTTTATTAGGGCTGCAGTCAAGCAAAGAAAATCTTGGTAGACTGAAATTGTTCTGACTCTTCAATCGACTGGCCGTGAGAAGAAAAAAAAAAAATCTGCACGTCATCCAGAATAAATTGGCCACAGTTCACTGATTACGCTCTACCTGCTAGTCTTACAGGCCTAAATCGATTAGAAACAAACAAAAGTAGAAGTAGATGAGGTTTGCAACTAACAATTATTTTCATTAATTACTCTGTTGATTATTCCTTAGCTTAATTGGTTGGTTGTTTAAATACCTGTAAAATGTTTGTTTGCTGTTGCTTGTTTGGTCCACAAATCAAAGATACTCAGTTTACTGTCTGAGGGGAGTATAGAAGCCAGAAAATATTCAAATTTAAAAAGCTGGAATCAGAGAATTTTGGCAGTTTTTAGTTTACAAAAAATACTCAAATGGTTCCATTGAATACTAAACAATTTGCAGTTAATTCAGTAGCTGGCATTGAACTTGGTAATTGATTAATCAGCTCTGGAGCAGAGCAGCGTGCGCCTGCCCATATTCATATGATCTGTGAAAATAAAACCATATCAGATGGTGTTCGCAGCACAAGAACCAATGAGTAATACAACAAGTTAGCTGCTGTTTTTAGATGATCTGTCATGTTGGTTGTTGAGCTGTGATATGTAAACATTTACACATTGACATTTTGGCCATCTGTTTGAACAAAGTGCAGCCACACCGACAACATTTTTCCACATGGTGTCAGTTAGTATGGAGGCAATTCTGAGTAAATGTTGAGTTAACGTTAAATAAATTGGATCTAGCAGTCTTCATTATGTTGAGTGAGTTCGAAGTTGTGAAAATGTAGTGACGTTCACAGATAGTCTGTTCCTCTTGGATTAATCCTAGAAAGGCTGTTGATGTAGAGCTTTTCTCCTTATGAAAGTAACATCAGCGATTGTTTGACAATCAGACATTCGTTTGAGAGTATATTGACCAACTAACCAACCTGGACACTAGAGACGTTGTGTTTTTGACCATTTTCCAGCACTGAAGTGGGTGAAATGGTAAAACTGGTGCTACTGAGGAAGAGAGGTCTTACTTGAAGAACTCCACGAAGGAGAAGCCGTATCCGTGCTGCTCAGCGATTCCTGCACACACAACGTTGGCCGATGCTCCTATTAATGTTCCATTTCCTAAACAGAGCCAAATAAAACTGTTAATGACTGTCTTCAGTTTTAGTGTCGCATAAAATACAAAAGTCAACATCACGGGCACAATTCCATCAGACCATTCCGCAATGCTGCACTGTTATGATGACAGGAATAAGAACTGGGTGACTCGAAAGCCAAGTCGTTAGGCTGCATACCACATGAACACAAATGCCTTCAAACAGTGAGTCCCTGGTTTGATTCCTAGCCAGCCTGACCTTTACTACATGTCATTTCCTGCTCGCTTCCACCTTGTTTCCTGTCTCTCTACGCTGTCACTATGTAGCAGAGGCAAAAATACCAGAAAAATGAATAAGGTTATTAAGCATCATCTGTTCTCAGCACTCTCTCCGTGTTTTCAGTCCCCATCTAACAAAGTTTTACTGTTTTTAATCTACTGTAGGCAACATTTTGACAGTCAGAGTGTGTATCCATACTGCCGTTTCATAGCGTTCACATCTCAAAAGGTGTCAGCGTGGGGATGGAGCTGGGCGGTGGCGACATCATACCGTCGATCGATAAGACCCTGTCAGCAGTGCAGTTGATTAAACTGAAACACTATGACAGCTCTCTCTCTCTCTATCTATCTATATATATATATAGATATATATTTGTCCTTCCACCCAAACAGAGCCGCTCGCTGCTGAAGGGCCAGCCGCTGGGGTGTAGTAGAGCCTGAATAAGGCACGCTCCGAGGGCCTTGAGGCTGCGCTCACAAAAACCACAGCCTGACCTCCCCGAGGAGTGACACAGCTGTACAAAGTGTAGCTGTCACTGCCAGCACATGATGTCTGCTTCTGGCAGAGGCCATCGATAAAGACACACACCTTTCAAACAGCGATAAACTTAAAGTCCCCAGTGTCTGTAAGGAAGTCTTGAAGGTTGGTGTGTGTTTTGCCCCAAAAAGTCTTGTACACTATATATATAAAACAATGTATGAGGGTAAGGATCAGGACTTACCACCAAGGCAGGCTCCCATGGCCAAAGCAAAGATAAGAGGTTTAACTGGCAGGTTTACATCTGCATCCTGACTCAGGTTGATGAGAACTGGAATCTGTACAAAAGATGGATTTAACAATAAGAAAAACACTGCTTTTACAATGGCAACCTTGTCTGTTAAATTCATTACTTAGTCAAAATATTAATAAAACTAAACCGGAGACAATTTGAGGGCATAAAACAGATAAACGTAACTTGGAAACTGTACATACAGGCCACTCTTATATACTTATATTTATATCACTAGCCACAACATTAAAACCACCACACTAATATTGTGTAGATCCTCTTGTGCTGCCAAAACAGCTATGACCAGTTGAGTTCTGGACTCCATAGACGCCTGAAGGTCTCCTGTGGTATCAGGCACCAAGGTGGTCACAGCAGATCCTTTAAATCCTGAAGCCTTTATGGATTGGTCAAACATTGCATTTATTACAGTTGTAGTCAAGCAAACAAAATCTTGGTCAACTGACATTGTTCTGATTCTTCAACCAATTGATTGGTCATAAGAAAAAACAAAACAAAACTGCATGTTATTCTAGATCAACTAAATTGGCCACAGTTGACTGAGTGCACTCTACCTGCTAGCCTTATTAGCCTAAATTAATAATTTAAAAAAGGCAGTACTTGTTGTATTTTAAATATTTTTATTATCCTGGCTATTAAGTACTAAATGATAATAAAAGAATCAGAGCAGATTAGGGCTGCAACTAACAACTATTTTCACTTTTTATTAACCTGTTGACTATTTTCTTGATTGTTTAGTTTGTTGGTAAACTATCAGAAAATGGTGAAAAATGTCAGTCATTGTTTCCCAAAGCCCAAGATGATGTCATCATAGTCCTTTACATTTTTGAGCCTCCATGAGTCTGACTTGTTTTTCCAGCAAGGATGCTTGACTAGATTGAGATCTGGATAATCTGGAGGCTCTTTGTCATGTTTCTCAAGTTGTTCCTGAACAATGTTAGCAGTAGAGCAATGAGCATTATCCTGCTGACAGAGACCAACAGGGAATACTGCTTCCATGAAGGCTGCACATGGTCTCCAACATTCATATCCTGTTGCCATATTTTCCTCAGATGAACAACACTTACACACCAGTTAGAAGTCCTTCCTTTGACTTTCTTCAGTGTAGATGCTAACCAGCCCACAAAACCTGCCGTTTTGGAGGTGCCCAATGTGACTTTTGTCAAAGTCGCTCAGATTGTTAAGCCACTCATTTTTCCTGCTTCCAACACATCAACTTCAGGAACGGACTGTTCTCTTGCTGCCTAATGCATCTCATCTCTTGACAGGTGCCATTGTAACTATACAATCAGTTCACTCCATGTGTCAGTGTTTTTAATGCGGTGGCTGATCAATGTATGTACATGTACTATTCATAAATATATTCAGCGATGATAGTGGTATGTGCCTGGTTTTTACACGCAACATACAGCAGGTAATGAACCAGATCGATTCCACCAAGACTGCAGAATAGTGAGCATTTAATCATTTCTTGACTGCTTTTTGACAGATTGTTGGATTATTTTCTCAGGAATTCTCTAAAAACGGTCAACATATGAAACATTAAAGCTTTCACGTGCAGTAGAACGAAGAAAAAATCCATTGGTTCCTGGTGCTACCTGATGTTGCATGGCTGAGTTATGCTGTGCAAATCACTTGACTCAAAGCATCCTAACAGAGCAAGCATGTACTGTATGAAGGCTTATATCAATTGAAATATCTGCAAACCCAAAGTGTTTATAGAAAGGACAAAACTGTAAAATGGTTTGCATTTGGAATCATTGGTGCTCAGACAGTGAAGAAATTGTTTGTCATTTTGGAAAATACACTTATTTGAGAGTCACAGTCCTTGTTACCACCACTTGCATTTAAATGAGCTCAGTGAAAAGGCTCAAAACAGCTTGCCTGCTTCTGTTTTAGCAACACATTTAATAAACAAGACAAAACATGCTAATTACTGAGCTTTAGAGGTGCTGCTAAACTTACTTTGTTACCCCTGATTCCATTCTTTATTCCAACCTAAGCTCACTGTTGCTGTCTTGATATTTACAATACAAACATGACAGCAATATCAATATTTCCATGGAACTCTGACCCAGAGAGCAAACAAGCATAAATGTTGAAGTATTCCTTTGAAAACAGAAGAGCTTCATTCATGTATAAATTTTCCAGAGACAAATATTCTGGTGTGAAAGGGGGAAAACAAATCTTTTCTCAGCTTCAGTCTATTGTGACAATCAGGACATGCTTTCTTATCAGCTGTGCTCCGAATTGAAAAGTGACGCACTTTGAAGTCCCCTTCTTTTCAGGTAGAGCGACGCCTGCATGGGCCTGAAAATGTGGAAAAACTATCAGAGGAAAGGACATTTTCAAAGCTCCGTGGACACACTGTTGGGGGGGGGGGGCTGACTAGTCAAAAAATCTGATGGTTTAATTCTGGCAAGCGGCGCCGCATTCTGTCAGTTGGTTAACATCTTTTCCTTTTCTCACTGTCATTTTAATTGAGCGCACTGGCGCCCCTCTGAAACATTGATCTCTGTACAATCTATTAATTTTCAGCAAAAACAGACAGCTGACAACAAAAGTGGTGAGGCGGCAGTTGGTCAAACAGTCGTAACAGAATTAATTGTGAGATACGTCTGTTCTCGCAGCCAAAGCAGCAACACAATTCATGTGCCTGACAGAATCTTTAATCCTCCCGTTCACTGCATGAGAATCCACACAGCATTTGGTGACAACATATTTCAATCACAATCTGTTATCATTTGCATGTTTTATTCTTTTTGTGAAACAGATAACCCTGGTTGGGCTTGTTTTTCTCCCACAGTGTTAAAAACAGCATCAAGATGTTGTTAAAATTGTATCAATATAGAAACAGTACTCTTTTTTTTTTATCACTAGAAAAGTAATGATGACTTTACATAATATTTAAATTTTACTGGTAACAGTTTTACAACTTCTAGAATCAACACACAGACTCTTGAAAGGTATTTCACCATGCTGTATGTATCTTGATACATCTTGCTGAGAACTTGTTCCTCTGTATCCCATTTGTTATTTTATAGCTGAAGTAAGTTATTTTGCTCTCAATCTCTAATTTGTTTCCATACTCTCTGCTTTGTGTGAACACAGCCTGCAGTCATACGTTGGGAACCACTGGCTGAAGTTTCAACATTGTGTTGTATTTTTAAAGCTTATATACCCAATTGCATTCAATCTCCTTATTAAAAGTAACAAAAGCTGTCAGACAACTGTAGCGGAGTAGAAAGGACATTATTTGCCACCAAGATGTTGTGGAGTGGAAGTATGAAGACGCATAAAACTGAAACACTCAAGTGAACCACAACTAATGCAAAACTCTACGTAAGTACATTTTAGTAACTGTTTGTGGTTACTTTCCATGACTGTCATGGAGCTATAAAATAATAATGAGTCTGAGAACAACCCCTGGAGACTGTATTTTAAATCCAGTGACCTTAACAATTAGCCGTTGTCCACTGTGGGAACTTATGCTAGTTTAATTTTAGTGTGGCCCAAACTTTTGTGCATGTTCAAAAAGCCAGACCCGTCTCTGTAGAACCTTTTTCAGAGCTGTTATAGTATATAGTATAGCTTTTAAGTCAAAAGATTCCTTTGCTACTTGATGTAATCTTCATGTGACTAGCTTGCATAACAACAGAAGCATGTTTGTGGGATATAATGGAGTGTGACACCTCTTACCATTGTGGCAGTGAAGGGAATGTTGTCAATGAGCGAAGAAGCCAGAGCCGAGACCCACATCACCAAGATAATGGCTATAGCCAGGCGCTGGTCTTCTGGCACCGCCTGAGAGGGGAGATAATGACAGCGACAGATAAGTGCTACTTTCATTGCCACTCACATGCACACGCCCCCCTTCAGCCCGTCACTGATTTAAATCAAACACGCCAATTATGTTCAGTCGTTGACACTGAACCTCTCGCCATGCTCAGAGGATGGAGCGGTTTCAGTGTGTGACACGACCACAGGTGGCAGCTTTGACTTTTATCTGTGGAGCTCTGCGGCACAAACACGACCAGACCGGCAATCCACGTGTGACGACAGGCGTGACGTTGTTACAGCCCTCCTGATATTCTTCTCTGAGGCATGCATGGCCAAGTTAAAGGAAACAATATCTCCCCCTTTCACACGTCCTCCAGCTGTATCAAGAGAGAAAGGCCATGCAATTCCATCCAGCATGTCGTCCATTGTTTGGGGAGCAGGTCAGCAACCGTGAAAAGCACACCACCTGTCATGTGTGATTATTAGATATATAAAGGCCCGCAGTCTAAACACAAGTTGACGTACCTATTACTGGTGCAATTCTCTGCTAAGAGACACCTCGCTTGCATGATGCACAGAGGCAAGAATATGGGTGAAAATAACCTGAGATCCCTTCACTGGGTGGCAGAAATCAGATGCAAACAAAATAATTAAATTCAGAGCAGCGCGGAACAAACGGATCAATATGCATGAAATGCAATATCACGTCACCTGTGCCCAATTATCAATTATTCCAGCTTCACAGAGACCTGAGAGACGACAGCTAAGGTGGAGAATCAAAAGGGAAAACTCACTTTTATAAGCAGCGCTGTCTGTTCTCCAATATAGTCGATAAGCTGCAGCTGGGCTAAAGCCTGAAAAATGAAGAGGAGATTAATATGAAAAAAAAAAAAAAGATCAGAAGAGAATTACTTATAGGTGGGATTAATCCAAGAGAAGAAAAGCAATTTGGCTTTTATTTACTGGCCATTAAACAGACAGAGACAAATCTATTCTTGTTATCGTTCCTGACACTGAGAATGAAAAAACACCCAAATGTTGGTAGACGTTCCTAGTGCTTTTCTGACAATATACAGTATTTAATGCTTTCAAAAAATAGTTTTGCCCACATCCACACCAAAGACTCAGAGGAGAGAGACAAGAAAGACATGCTTGTGCTGACATCACATTTCTCTTTTCATCCTTTCACTGGGAGGCTTGTGGGTAAAGAAACAGATAATTACTTTTTACATTGTGAGCTCTGTGACGGACTGAATTTCTGTCAGTGGCCGGTGTACCGTCGATAGATCTGAGCACTGATTGTGTCGTCCTTTAGTTTCTTGCAAAGATGCTTGTCAGAGGAGAGCCCAGCTAAACCCTCATTTATTGCAAATCTGGATAACTCATGTTTCAAATAGAGGCTCATAAGGACTCTGAATTCCAAGCAGTTTGTGGGTGTCTTTTTTTTTTCTGGTAACACATTTTTAGTCACTTAACTACTAAGCTCAATTTCTTTAAATACATATTTTTTTTAACATTCTGTACATTTCTCAAAGTACCCACAAGTGTTATCAATATTGTAAAGACATTGATGCTCCATATATTATATATGATTTACTATTTACATTTTCACAACCTCTACAAACTAATAATTTTCTGCAATATTCTTCACATCAACTTTAGAAAAATATGTATCTTCATATCTTCCAATGACTTGTTCCTTTGCACCATTGTTGAGTCATGCTGCATTTTAAAGTACTGTTGTTTCATCTAACTCAAAATTTTAAAAAACACTGTGCAATTCAGAAGAATCCCTGAATTTTTGTGCCTGTTGGTCAGAGCTGAGTCATTCATATCTTCTTAACTGCACTCTGGAGCTCAGAATTTTTC